CCCATGCTCTGCGGACTCGAGCCGTCATCAGCAGTGCCTTATCCCCCAGGCCCAGCTTAGCAACCCAGGGCTCAATGGCTTGCTCCGATGCCCAGAGGAAACGAAACTCTTGCAAACTTTCGACGCCCAACCGGAGCAGGGCTGTAATTACCCCATCATCCAACGAGAAGTTGTCACCCAACTTCCTTAGGATTTCCTCTGGGGAACCCTTTTCCAGTGGGACTTTATCAGTCTCCATGGCCTATTCTCGAGGACACCCCTCTAGCTAAGGCCCAGGGATCCCCTCCCTTTGACTGAAAACTGCGCCTCGGGTCTCCCCCGTGCGTTGTGCTGGAACAGCCTGGCGTGGCATGAAATAAATGGACCCTGACATACACTGATGTGAAATCTGGACATGTGTACAACGCACAGCTATGTTGCGACCTCACATGACATCACCTTCATGCCGCCACAGAGCTATGGTACACTAGACTATCTGAGGTCCCCCTCCCAGATGGTCTTGTGCGTTGTCATGAAAGGAAAAACTTGAAAAACACAACGAAAGGACATGAGGGCACGGCACTTGCTCAGTGGGCACCCTACTGAAAGTCACCTGGCTCTACTATTTTCCTCTCGCGCATGATGTTACTGCTGGGGGCGGTCATGCAGGCTGGATTGAAGCTCTTATCCAAGCCCCGAGCTGATGAATTCGGCTCTCCATGGCCGGAACGGGCCAGTGCTGCTGATCAGCGCAAAGGCCAAAAATTCGGCTTGGGCATCTTAGGCAGGCGGCCACCATGACGCTGGCGCTCGACGGAGGCACTGGTCACACCAGGGGCGCTCCCATGCCAGAGCTTCAAAGACGTCCGTGGACATGTATGGGTTCACCAGGCGCTTCGCCTTCCCATCGGCCTGCTTGTGCTGGCACAAGGTGATGCCGTCCTCGACCGTGACATGGGTGCTGGACCTCTCCGTAGCTGCATATCCCTGCGGCTCGGGGTGCTGTGTTCCCACCGCGGTGTCCTGGAAGGTCTTGTGCAGCCACTTCCGCATGCCTTGGTCGCGAATGACCTTGTTCAGCTCTGTATCCCTGCGGCTCTCCACGTAGTGGTTGGCATCCTCAATGGACTCGCCGGCCAGCAATGCACGGCAGAGGATGCCTAAGAAAGCACCCCGGTGTCGCCCCTTGATGCAGTGCACCACGACGTTGTCGCCGTGCCAAACAGTGTTCTTGACGGCCGGCCACACGTCTGTCCACTGTTCGTTGCGTTCCTGGCTGTATGCCGCCGCGAAGGTCATCAACTGAGCTCCCGGGAGGGTCACCCCCCCCCGGCTCTCAGGACCATTCGGGAAGCAGCAGATCTGCAACGCTGTCTTGGGGAACTTGTCCACCGTCTGCCTCATTGGAAGTCCTGCCAGGTAGATGCCACCACCCTTCCGGGATGTCCAGATGCAAGTCGGGGCCTGGGCTGTCCCTGAGCCCACACCCAACCGCTCCAAGTGGAGGTCCAAGGTGTCTCCTGCTGCCTTGCCATGGCCTTTCTTTGGCATGGCCTTGATCTGTGGCTTCCCAGGAGCGGCCAAGCGCTTCGGCGTTGTGGTTGTAGCCCTGGACTTAGCAGCTGTGACCGGTGGCTTAGGTGTAGTGGCTGCAGCCTTCGGAGGTGTCTTGGGGGCTGCAATGGCTGGCGCCTTGGGCGGAGTCTTGGGTGCAGCCTGACCTCGGGCTTTCTTGACAGCTGCGCGCATCACCTCGGCCATCTCGTCGTCAGTGGCACCGCTCGCCGCGGTCCTCTTCCGGCCAAAAGTGGCCTTCTCCCCCACGGCTGCCGGCACCAAGGTGGCCGATGGCTTGGGTGCCGCTGGCACTGCTGTTGCGGCCAACACCGCCCGCTTGATGTTGCAGACGCCTGCACCGTGCTTGCCACCACATGCCCGTCCTGACTTTTGTAGAATGGCACACAAGTGCACTCCGAAGGGGCAGGAGTCTGCCGGATTCGGGCACTCGTCCGTCTGGAACTCCGGGCAAATGGCCTTACCATTCTTCAAAGTGGCCGTCAGCACCTTGCCATTGAGTTGATCAGGCATCTGAGGTGCCGGTGCGGCTACGGCCTCTTGCCGGGCTTGCTGTGCCGCTTCAACAAACTGCTGTGACAACTTGAGCCTCTTCTTCACGTCCTGGAAGCTATGTGCAGAGGCCCAAATAGGTTGGCGGTCTTGTCGCAGCAACCTGTCAGCTTCAGTAAGGCCATGAGCTCGGGCTGCATCTAGCTCTGCCTGCGGGATCGCCTCCCACAGCAGGTTGCTAGCGAGCTTGGCCGTAGCGCCCCAGATCAGGGATTTCACCTTGACTGACGCGGCGTATTTTGCCGAAGAATAGTGAAATGCCATCGCCCCCACCTCTGGTTGCTCACTCTTGTTTTGCCAGTCGCCCAGGGCTGCCATTTCTTCAGGCCTGCATCCTAACAACTGGGCCACCGTGGGTGCAAGCCTCCTCCAGCTGTAGGTGGTCAGATCTTCTGGATTGTCGAGGAACACGGACATTTCCTGTTGCATCGTCTCTTGCACTTCTAGGATCGTCCATGGGCGCCCTTCGTCTGAAAAACAAAGGCCTGCAAGTCTCTGCCTTGCTGGTGCCAGCGTCCTGTATGCCTCCAGCACTTCCTTGGCCCAAAAGAAGCCGTTGGCGAATGTGGCCGGCACCGCAAAGTCGAAACCTTCGCGGGCATGCTTTTGTTTTCCCTTAGGGCACCTGCAATGGAGGAATGCAGCGGTGAGGCGCCGAGGTTCTGACCGCGCGATGTGCGCATACCTCAAACAGCCAAACGACATGATCCAAGGAGCCAGAAGAACTGACCACCTCTCATCGCCGACCGCGTGCAACTCCGTGATGCGGTCCTCCAAGGCCTGCACTAATGGCGGCTCCACCACCGGTGCTTGCCCACGCTGCCCAGTCGCCCTGGGTGTTGTAGGCACTTGCAAGTTTCCCAGCTCCATGTCTTGGTCGGCATTCTTGTTCATCCATTTCAAGGCTTGGAGTGCTCGTGCTGGCGCCTGGGTGTGGTTGAGGAACTGATCCAGGTCGACCATTCCAGGAGGAGCGGGTCGCCCCCGACTCTCCAAGAAGGCCCTCAGCTCCAACCAGGTGTTGACCACTCGGTCAATGGTCGCCTTCTCCGCGTCCTTCACCTTCTTCTCGGCGATCCTCTTGCACGTTTGTTTCCATTCGGCCTTGAGGGTGTCTGTCAAGATGCCAGCTGGTTTGTATGCGCCCATTCCGACAAACATCGACACCAAGCCGTTCACCCGCTTTTGGACGGCCTCATCCAGGTTCTTGGTGACGTTGACGGCCTTGGGCTTTTTCTTGTAGATTGTCTTGCGCACAGGGCGCAGAGTGACGGAACCCTTGGGGTTGTCCTCCACGACTTTGGCCCCAGCAGCAAGGAGGTGCTCTTCCACCCTTGCTCTTGTCTGCAGCCAGTCATCTGCTACGTGATGGCCAGCTAGTCCAACGACTTGATCGTAGTCGGTGTAGGCATAGGCGAAGTCGTTGTCGTCCAGGAGGCCTTCGTTCTCCCTCCATTGACGCGCACGCTGTGCAGCTATCATCATCAAGGAGTCGGCTGCTCTCCATCCCGGTTCAGGGTCACCCCCTGACGAGGACGAAGCTGCCGCTTGAGCTGCATAGTAGCCTTTGCCGCCTGATGCCATGGCGCTGCACCCTAACAAGATTGCCAAGGTGCGGAGAGCAAAAAGATGCTGCGGTGACTTCAGAGGTGCCTCCTCTGTCATAAAATCAACCTGCAGCAAACATCTTCTTACGTCCTCCACAAGTGCTGCATGGCTCACGCCAGGTGAAGCAGTCACTACACATCCCGACGCAGCATGCCCAGCACACGCGCCTGGTGGGATCTCCGCACTCTGTGCAGGCGGTGCCCAGCTGAAGCATGCCTGCATCCTGGCATTCCAGCCATCCACATAGCGCTCGATGTGCCCTGGTGCCTTCTCTCCCCCAGGCCACCCAGGGTCGCCCCCTAGGTGCTCTGGGGAAATGCCGCGGCTCGAGGAAGACCGGTAGGAGCTCGTGAGGGCCTGTGCATCTGAGCCAGCTCCCCCATTGATCGAACAGCTCCCCCAAGCCCAGTTGCCCAGCGTCGCCCGCTGAGCACCTGAGCTGCAACCCGTAGAGATCCTGGGGCACGATGTCAGCGGCCACTTTGTGCTTCGTATAGGCAGCGACCAGCAGCAGGTCCATGGGGTCCTGGTGCTGGTAGTAGTACGCCCAAGCGTCCGCAGGCGCCACATCATCGGGCAGCACAACGCCACGGCTGTTCCACAAGCCGAGCCACGGGAACTTGAACCCCCCCACATGAGCTGCGCAACGCTGGCAGTCATCAAGGCAACAGGGTAGCTTCGGCAGGGGGGGGAAAAGCTCTGAATCTGTCCCAGTCGTGATGACGTAGGGGGAATGCAACACTTCAATGCCATGCATCCAGCATGTGTATGCTGCAGCATCAGAGCCCTCCCGCGCCAGCCTTTCCACGTGGCTCTTGAACTCCAGGAAGGCAGCAGCATGAAGGATCTTCGCCTCAGTGGCTGCCGGGATATCGATTCCTGGGAGTTTGCGCTGCATACAAGGTCGCCCCTTGTATATAATTTGAACCACCCAATCAAGGTCTGGAAAGGTCACCCCTTACCAAGACCAAGAAAGAAAACAGCAATGAATGCTATTTTGGTTCAAGTTTACTTGAGCCAAAATGGTAGCATTCATTGAAACACTTAAAGATGATACATGCACACCCAAGCCTGCCAAACTCAATGCATGGGTATATATATATACATAAACATGCTTATAGAATCTTATAGAATGGTGTGTATGTATGTACTTATATATATATATAATTATATATAATTATATATATACTGTATAGTATTGCATGTATTACTATGATCTACAGTACAACGTATTACGATCCATGTCATACGCTTTCTCTCCGTCAAATCTCGAATCTCCCAGCGGCCCCAGGTTGTGCATCAGCAGAAAGGTCTGATGAGCCGACCTGTCAGCAGAAATGGAGGTTTTATATGGTTTTATATGGGAAAATCATGGGAATATTAATGGGATATACCATCTGGTAATTTAACATAGCTATTGAAAATGGCTATCTATAGTGGAATTTCCCATGAAAAATGGTGATTTTCCATAGCTATGTTAGTTTACCAGCGGGTAGCATCCAAATTTCAGTTGAAACCAAAAAAAAGTATCCCACCACATGCTCATGACAAATCATGAAAGGTTGGTATGTTGTTCATTGCCCTGCGATCTTTCTCCGACCCAGCACCTCTTGGACGATCCATTCACTGTTCCTGGCAGCCCACTTCAAGGCTCTACGGATCTGGCTTCAAGTTATGGTACCCATGATGTGCATCCCATTGACTACGTGGCTTCTAACCCGTTTTTTTTTTAACTGGGGCGCAATATAGCAACATACCTGGCATATATTATGGTTGTTGACCACTGGGATGCACAACATGCACCCATCACTTTGATGCCTAATGATTGGTGATGGTTGATCCTTTGAAAGTGTCATTTGGGGCTATCCCCGGCTATCCCCGGTTGTCTGGGCCAAGCCAAATTAAATGTTAACCTGCCATGAATTGACATATCCCATGAATCATGACATTCCCAGGGCCCATTTTGTCTATCCGATCTGATTCATCCCACCATGGATACACTCCCGGGAACAAACATGTCTCGGGCTACCGTTTCAGGTATCAACTAACATGTCCACTCTGTACCGGCGTTTTCCTGGGGAATGCATTGCAATTTTTTTTGGGACCATTGACCCAAAAACAGCTAACATGTCTCAGTTCCTGCAATTGGGGCCCTTGGATTTCGACCCTGATCTGGGATATGTTCGCTATTTTGGGGGATAGATTCAGCCAATACCCACTCACATATCTCAAAACCACATCCTCTGAACAACACGGACACGTTAGGTGGACGCTTTCCATGGCCAGTCATCCAACCCTTACTAAATGCAACTGGTTTTTGGAATGCACCCCCAATCTTCCTGCCCACCCACGAGCATCATCTATGATGCGCTCTTCCGGAAGGAGTTGGGACCCCTTTTTTCTCCACCGTTTTGTTATCAATGCGGTCTTTGATTTGAGCCCTATTGGGGTCTGGAAATAAGGATGCTGGGGCGTCCGGGGCGGTAGTCTTCTGGCAGTTTCCCGGGAACCCCCAGAGGGGGGGGACAACTTTTCCACTAACATGTCCATTCTGGATTTTCAGCTAACATGTCTCAAGTATAGGGCATTTATCATAGCCTATGTTCACAGCAGCTAACGTATCCAAAAAAGACAGAAAAAAGTGGATACGTGTCTCGGGCTACCGTTTCAGGTATCAACTAACATGTCCACTCTGTACCGGCGTTTTCCACCCAAAAACAGCTAACATGTCTCAGTTCCTGCAATTGGGGCCCTTGGATTTCGACCCTGATCTGGGATATGTTCGCTATTTTTGGGGGATAGATTCAGCCAATAACCACTCACATATCTCAAAACCACATCCTCTGAACAACACGGACACGTTAGGTGGACGCTTTCCATGGCCAGTCATCCAACCCTTACTAAATGCAACTGGTTTTTGGAATGCACCCCCAATCTTCCTGCCCACCCACGAGCATCATCTATGATGCGCTCTTCCGGAAGGAGTTGGGACCCCTTTTTTCTCCACCGTTTTGTTATCAATGCGGTCTTTGATTTGAGCCCTATTGGGGTCTGGAAATAAGGATGCTGGGGCGTCCGGGGCGGTAGTCTTCTGGCAGTTTCCCGGGAACCCCCAGAGGGGGGGGACAACTTTTCCACTAACATGTCCATTCTGGATTTTCAACTAACATGTCTCAAGTATAGGGCATTTATCATAGCCTATGTTCACAGCAGCCAACGTATCCAAAAAAACTGTTTTCCACAAAAAAAGTGGATACGTTTGTTCCCTAGAGAGTATTTCTGACATTTTCTGACGCCCAGAAATATCAGTGGCTTTTCTGGGATTATATCACAATCATGACAATCATGACCCCCATTGAAATATCACAATCATCTTCCATTCCATATCACCGTGATATTCACCCATGATAGATTCTATCACCGTGGGTCATCCCGGTCAAACTTGGAGATGCTTTGACCGGGACTCCAAAAAATAATCAACAAAAAATCCCCATCAAGATTCCCATCTGGGCTTCAATTTACGTCAAAAATCATCAGCAAATCCAGGTATACTATGGTATTCCATTAAATGCTGACACATATCCCATTAAATGCTGACATTGCCGCTGGCCGAAAAGTCGCCTGGCACTGGCACTTTTCCTCTATTCTGGCCCACCTGGCAATGAAGCAACGACGGAGCAACGACTGTCGTGAAAAAGTGTCGTTGTTTTGATCCAGTAGCCTTTAAGAAGATAGAAGTTGGTGAAATCCTGTGGAAAATAGCGAGAATATCTATGTTTCTATCTTTTTGGTAGTTAGTTCATGTTAGTTCTATACACGAATATCTAAAAATTGCCTGATTTAGCCGGAAATTCAACAATGTCCTATATTGAAACTTTGGTGCGGGACCGGTCTGGTGCATACCGTTTATCATCACTTACCTGGTATTATATGTATTATATACCTACTTGTTGTAAAGGAATGTTAACTCTTCAATTACTCAACCAAATAGTAGGAAAAGGACATCTGTATACATCTGTGAGGAATTTGAAATGATTCTATGGATTTTGGCAATTTCATCGGGAAAATCATGAATTGTCTTCCCAGGTACTGGCCGAATTTCGACCCGTCGGAGCGGTCTCGGGTGTCTTATCGTAGGGATGGCATGATGTCAGATGTTTTCAGATGTATATAATGTTTCTCCTCTGTCAGAAGTCATCGGACGCTTTGTGTTGCCGCAAACCGCCGCCTGCCGTTTTTCCAAGGATGAAATTCGAGTATCGAATCCCGACTCCATTCACGGGAATTGTTCGGGCCGGTTTCGATTCCCTGGAATTTTGGCAGCCCTGCGGATTGGACCAAAGGAGATGCCCACTGTTGGCGTGCCACACCACACCACGCTGATGCTAATATCGCATGTGGGGTGGGCAAATTGATGATCATTATTCATCGTTTGCCACTCCCAACGTGCGTCATCCACATCAGGGAGATCCAGGAGATCGGGACTGAGATGAGTCTCAAAACAGCAAATGATGCAAGAAGTGCCATGTTACCACTTCATCCAAATCCGAATGTGGTGATCCGGCGGTTCACCAGGCGAACGGCGGTTCAGAACTACAAATGGACCTGTGGACCACAAGATACAACAAGTCTGTGCCAGGAGACAGCAATTTGAAGCAAAATTTGGGCTTTGTGACAGGTGTGGACCCATAATACTTTTTTTGAGTGGTGTCCACAAGGACATGATAAGGTTCAAACTCAACCACAGCGTGTTCAGCACTGAGTAAATTCCCTCACTTCCATCGTACTCCCGTCCCCTAAGTATTTTCAATACCCCTAGCCCCACCAGCAGTCGCTGTATTCATTGGGAGCCGAATTGTTGGGGCAATTCAATTCCCCGGGGGATAGGATTCACAGAGTCAACATCCACTCAGTTGCTCGCAGGCTGCTTCTTTGCAAGAGGACCAAAAAGAAAAATGAAGGGGCATGAAGGGGCCGACACGAGAATGCAAAATCCGGGCGCAAAGAGGAAAGGAATCAAATATCAGCCAATATCAGCCAGCATTAGCTATAGATCCACATGGGGGTTCCCAGAATCAGCACATACAAGTATCAGCACCCCCCAACTGCAGAAGAACCGCTAGATTGTCACAGCGCATCCTTCCCGCCTTGGGGTATATTACAACCCTCAAGCCGGAGCAGTACAGGGAAATTGAACTTGTGATTCACGCGAAGCCAAAAAAAAAGGCAGCCTCGCGTGACTCCGCAATTGCTTCCTTGTACTTCCTCCATTCCATGACCTTCGGGAAACGCCAATCAACTGATCAACCCAGCAAAAATATTTCACCTTCGGGGGAAGTACAAGCACAGCTTCAGTTCGGCAACCGATTTTGGTATCCGGTCAAAATCAGGAGATGTGCTGGTGGTCACAGTGCCATCAGTTCAACCATCAGTAGGGAATGATCTCAACGTCGGCGGCAAAACGGAGACGCTTCTCGTTCTCCATGGAGTCCATGGAGCGTAGTTTCAGCTCTCCACGCCTTAAGGAGATCCCCCAAAGTCCCTGCCAGTGAATCTCCCAGACATTACAAGTGACAACTACCCTCTGGTAATTTAACAAAAAGCTATTGAAAATGGCCATTTATAGTGAGTTTTCCCATTAATAGCATGGTGATTTTCCATAGCTATGTAAACGTTTACCAGAGGCTACCATAATTAGCATAACCATAACTGTACCTTTCACTTTTGTCATATCCAAGTTGTCTCTGCTGGGTCCTTAATTCGTGGAACATGTGGTTTTTCATCGTCCCGACATGTTGTTCGGGAACTAAAACGCGTTCTTTCGGAAACCAAAGCCTGTTTGATTAAGGAACTAGAAAGTGTTCATTACAGACGGTGCTATTTGGAAACCAAAACAGTTCTGGCAACTTTGAAGCCTCCCAAGCTACAAACGCCTTCGGAAACATGGGGAAACTACACGTGATGTGGTGTGAAAGGTGGTCAAAACTATGACCGGGAGTGTTGAATAGGTGTGTTGTAAGTTAAAGGTTGTGAATTGAAATATGACTTAGAGTGTTGATTAACTCTACTGTGCAAGTAAGGCAGGAGAGGGGAATTGAAGAACAGGGAAGGAAGAAATGATAGAAATATTGTCTGAGAATGCGGATCAAACATATTGTAAGACAAAGAAAGGGTTAGTTCCTCAATTTTACAGAAGAGTTCCACAAAAGCAGTTCTTGAACCATGCATGGATTTGAAGCTCCTGGGCTGCACTTTCTGAAGGCTTGTGATCGTTCGGTTTGGGCCGTGCCGTTTCTGGCAATGGTCTCAATTCGATCTCTGGGTCAATGGAAGCGAATCAACGAGGTGAAAGGCGGGTTTTGCGATACAGATACAGTTGAAAACGCGGAGTACGTTCTTGACTATAGGATACTAATACATCTAAAATATCCGGCCATATCACCTAGGAAAATCCATATAGAACGTTTTTTTTGCACCTTCCAAAAAGATCCAAAAAGCTCCAAAAATGGAAAAGGAGCGCGATCATACCAACAATTTCCAGCGGATCCCACGGGAATCCATGGAAAAAATCTGTTGAGAATCGAGAATCTTCCACTTCCCCCCACTCGGTTGATCCGGATTTGTGATCTTTCCCGTAGATTCCCCCCACTCAATCCCCCCCTTTTTTTTGCTCGACCACAGATCACATCAACATCAGCAGCCAGCAAATCAAGCATCAGATGCACTGCCAAGGGGCCAATCTAAGTCTTCACAATTCAATGTTGTAGTCCTCGGAGTCTCGGGGACATCCGTAGAACAGGAAGATTGTCCTGATCCCAGGCCGAGGCCAGCATCGCCACTGGGTGACTGGGCCCTCCCCCGTCCTGTTTCAAAAAGGATGGATTCATCACTCATCACCATGTTTCTAGAATTATATATCTAGAAAAAACATGTCTGGTTGAGCGTTGTTTCTTGTTTCCTCCCCCACAAAAAAAAAACAAAATGATTGATGGTTCATGGCGAAACATGAGCCAAATGTATGCCTGGATCATCTTGGAGTCCTCCATGGATCTCCAGATTTTTGTGGTTCGCATCCGAGCCAACAGACCATACCCCCTTTTTCAGGGAATGTCATGAACAACAAATTGTTCCGTTGAGATTTGTCATGAACCGGCAAATAGCTGGGGAAGTCTCTAGAGACAATACGAACAAATCCAATGATACTAACGAGATTGGCCGCTACATTGTGGCAAACCAAAATACAAACATCCATTTTACCGGAAGCAAGTTGGTTAAACCATCTCTAGTCTCCAACGTTGGGGGTACCCAAACATCCAGGTGTCAGGTGATCAAAAACAAAACCGCCATGAAACATGGCATATTTATGGTATTTGGTCAAGTTGGTGCTGAATTCGAATGTGACCGAAAACCAGTCATGGGAAAATTTTGATGAGTGAAGCATTAATGTAAACTCATACCCCCATCATTTCGTGTAATTCATCAATTAGCCCATAACATGGCCCTAACACATGGCCCAATGTTTTCCATGACCTTAGGACCAAACCAAGGTTCCCCAGCTTCCCTGGCGGTCGTACTGTTTGGAAGTGGCCTTTTGCACGGATTCCTGGTGTCTTGGGGAAGTTGACCATGGGGGCTTCCATAAATGGGGGATCCCCAAAATGCTTGGTTTATAGATGGGAAGGTCCATGAAAATCCCATCTATAAATGGACCCCCATTTTAGGAACCATTACAGTAACGTATATACCAGTTTTTAAAGAGATCTTCAAGTTTGACCATGTTTGACATAGTTTGACACCATGCCTGGGTTGATCTGCCCCATGCTCATTTCGAAAGTCATTTCTTGCCCCAACAGTCCGGCGAATCACCAAAAAAGACCGACCTAACCCCCAACAAATCAGGACTTTCCAACCAGCAAAATGCAAAAAAATCCACCAGCGATCAGATATGTTTGGATCACACCAGCGGCTCCTTGCCATCCATGACTTGTGCACTCTCTGGCGTCAAGCCAAGCTTTGAGGCCTCACAAAGGGGAGTACCCGCATCTTAGGAAACCTCCAAGTGAACACAGTTATATATGTATACCTAGTCAGGTAGACAATTTATATGTTGAAAATGATGATCTAAATCTTATTTCTTATTGGATATCTGCTGAATTAGATTGAATTAAGATAGATAGACATGTTTCTCATGTATATCTTGAGATCGATACCAAGATGTAATATGATGCAGTTATAAAGTTGAGACACGTTGAATATGGATTAGTAACTAAATTAATATAATCATATAATAATTAATCATTGTATATATATATATGTATGGGTAAATTATAATATTTCACTAACCTGAATTAAGGCCATTTGGGGATGATTCCCCTTACTAACCATGATTCCAGTGAGGTCGCAGTAAGGTCGTTATAATTTACCCTGAATCATATAATCATTAATCATTGTGTGTATATAATATATATATATATTGTATGTCAAAATAGACGGATGGATCGACTCTGGAACTTCCGACCCACGTTGTTTGTCATTCGGTCTTCAAACGACGTTGTTTAAGTCTGCTAACAGTCTAACCATCAACAAATACGTGTATTTCATGGGATTTAATGGGAATTAATGGGATTTACTGGGAGATAATCATGGAATTTCATGGTAATAAAATTGGATCCTGGACCCCGTGTGGACCCCCTGGACCCCTGCAATCCAGACCTTGGCCCACAGCATCTCCCTCTTCAAAGAGATGAGCTGTGGAGTCTCCATTTTCTCCTTGGGAACGCTGGGCGAAATGCCATGGGTCCGTCGACTGGGGTTCGACTGGGGTACACGATGACTGAAACCTCCGTGCATAGACACTGTTTTTTTTGAATGGATGGCACATGGCGATCAAATTCTAAGCCTCTCAAGCCTTTGTAGCCATCCAAGTGGGGTATCGCTGATGCCGCTGCCGTGTGTCCTGACCTTGGCCCTGGGGTGCCAGGCTCTGGCAATCGTGAAGTCAACTGAGACCTGTTAGAATTCCACCAAAAATATCACCAAATTCTGTCATCATCATCTTGTCCACCAAAACAAATCAGGGGCTGCAGAAGGCGTTTTTTATTCAGCCACATATATTGCAGGTGATCCTCCTGTTCAATGGAAATGGCATCACCTCATGACCCTTTATCCATGTCCCCCAGTCCCTCCACTGCCAAGCATCAAGCAAGCCTATGGTTGTGCTGCACGCAAGAGATAACATGTGCATGGATGGATAGACCTGCCATCACACTTTCCCCCCCAGCCCTGAAAAACGGGTCAACTTAATTGATGTCAACTGCTCCCCCCAAAAAAAGCACTACCCACGTATTACTATATATAATTATATATACATATCTGGGTGCACTATAGCAGGGTCACGTTTGGCTACATTTCAGCACTTTCCCGAAGGTAGCATGGCTACCTTTGGTACTCTCCGGTATCATCACCTTCTTCCTTAGCACTGTCAAAACGCAGAACGCAAAACGCGTGTTCCGGATTGCGCGTTCCGAACGCAGGGGGGGTTGTAGTGGTTTTTGGTTCCAGAAGCCTCCCAATTTTTTTTTGCTCCTTGCAAAAGGGATCCGCTGTGTCACATAGAGTTTTTCAACAATTTTTCAAAGCCTTCTTGGACCTCTGTTAATAGCACTACGATTAAGTTTGTGAGAGGTCAGAACCTTTTTCTTTCAGAGAAAAAAGGATCCGGTACGGAAACCTAACTTGCCCCACAAACCTGGTGAGGCCAGAACCTTTTTTGCTTCCAAAAAAGGATCCGGAGTTGGGAAGATCAACTTTCTGGTGGCTTCATCTACCATTTTGAGCCCATAAGAGCTCTTTTGGGGGGAAAAAGGTTTCAGTGTCCAGGCCCAGGAAATACATTAACTTTGCATTATTGGAAAAAGGATCCATTCAGAACACGCGTTCCGGAGCGCGAGTTTTTAAAACGTGCGTTGCAAACGCCAAACCGTACCGAAGGAACATGCTAAGCCTTCTTCTCCTTCATCTTCATCATCACCACCACCATCTGAAGGCGACCTTTGTTGACCTTCTCTAAGTTTAAGCTGTCCTTAGAGGAATTCAAAATCACATCGCTTATGTTTTTTCAATATTTCCTTCAATGGGCTATGCTGTTTAGTAAACATGCAGGCGTGCCGTTTGAATTATGTATATAATGTGATGCTAGTCTTGGATACGTTCGGCTACATTGCTACTCTCCAGTGTCATCACCTTCATGTTCATTTTCATCATCACCGTCATCGCCATCACCATCATCATCATCATCATCAACAACAACAACAACATCACCGTCATATTCATCATCATGTTGTCATTGCATGTCATGGCCATCCGTGTCAGTCAAGTTTCCATGTGTTTGTTTAACCCAAAAAAACAATGTGAATGTGGGTTCTTGAAAAAATGGATGTATATAGCGTATACTTACATATGTGTAAACATGTGTAAGCTGATTTTACTAAAGGAACGACAACCATTTTTGTTGTCCAGAGCCCACAACTTGCCACTTGCACATGTTGGAAACTACACGCTACCTACACACTACCTACACACTACCTACCTGCTACAACTGCACAAGATTGTGTAGGTTCCGGCGTGTTGGTTCTGGAGGTTCCGGTGTGGGTTCTGGGGTGGGTCGTCTGTCACCAGGGTTGAAACTTGATAGGTTGACTGGAAGAATCGGCGGATTGTTCTCCTGGAAGGGCCCTGGTCTTTGCATACTATGTGTGAAAAGTCGTGCTCCAACAAAATGAAAAATGAAGCATGCCACAAATGCCTATCGAGGAGTGTCAGTTTTGGTCGGGTGAGGGATGCCCAACAATGAAAATTGAAGGGCGTCGCAAATGTCCTCAGGGTATCCAACCTTTTGGTATATTTAACAACAACATGAAAGCTTCAGGGTAGCAAAAATGTCTTTGGGGCACCAATCTCATTCAAGGGTCTAATTTTTGTTGTCGAATGCTGGGCACCCCAAGGATTGAAATTAAAAGATTTCAAAAGTAGTGTCCTTGGGGAGCCTATCATTTGGCAACAAATGCTGTCATGCTTGCCTACCACATTGGCTGTTGATGGAGTCATGAGTTTGAAGAGAGGGAAAACAAATCCATTAGAATTAGATGAAGCATGCCTGAACATGTTTATTTGAATGTGTGTTTGACTTCAAAAAGACACAAAAATCACAGAGAGGAAATTGTGCCAAATATCTACATGATTTTTCACTTTTTTTTGGTTTTGGACTGTAAAAGTAAGTTTACTTACTCAGCTAATACCTGAACTTTGATTTTTTTTCCTTGGGTCCGCGCGTGCGCCTTCAGTACCCCAAAACAAGCTTGTTGGGGCGCGAGCGCGCGCGGACCCAATGAAAAGGGTTTAACCTTTTTCGGTGGGTTTACACACTGGGTAAGTTTTATTAATTTGGAAGGAAAAGTGAAATCAATATGATTTTTCAATTTTAAGGTGATTTCCAACTAATTTTCAATTAGATTTACGTTTTCGAATAACATACTATATATGAATTCGAAACTACATGTCAAGTTGAGATGATCAAACCCCTAGGAATGAACCAACCCCCAGACACGAAAATTGTTCACACTAAAAGTGGTTGGTCCCCCGGAATGAATAAACCCGCCAAAAAAAAATGAGTTTGTCAACACACATTTTTTCCAAGAGTAGTCATGCTGGCTGAAATTGCTGCTTCCCGAACTCATGCTGATAAACCCTTGCTGTCCAACTCTTCCCCCATGCTGCTCATTGCTCTTGTGTTTGGGATTTGGATTGGGCTTCTATGGGATTTCTATAGGGTTTCCATGGTACGGGATTCCTATAGGACTTCTATACGCTTTCAATTGGGTTTCTCTGGGATTTCTATCATTTTTTGGGGATTCCTATGGGATTTTTATAAGACTTCTATGGGGTTTCAATAGGGTACCAAAAGGACTCCTATGGGATTCTATGGGTTTTGAAATTTCAGGCTCAGTCTTGCAGTCTTGGTTCAAAACAAATTCTTGGCAAAATTTCACAAATGATTTTCCAAATGGTCCCCTTGGCCGCGGCCCCTTTAAATCTCTTTTGGGTTTCAAAGGAAAATCAAATTGAAAGTAGGTTGATATCAATTGAGCCCTCACTAATCTTAAGATCTCTTCTAGGTTTAAAAGGAAATCAATTGAAATTAAAAGTAGATTGGTATCAATTGAAAACCGATATGTAAATCTCTTCTAGGTTTATATAAAAGGAAAGCCAAATGACAGTAGATTTCCAACCTTTCCCACCCTCTACCCACCCTTTATCCACCCTTTATCCACCCTTTATCCAACCTTTTTCCAACCTTTCTCCAACCTTCATCCTTGTATCCACCCTCTACCCACCCTTTTTCCACCCTTTGTCCAACCTTTGTCCATCCTCTCCTTTGTCCATCCTGTATCCAACCTTTATCCAAGTTTCATCCTTGTATTCACACTTTCTCCACCTTTGTATAATACATACAATACACCAAAATCGTTGCCAAATTGGGCCCCGCGTCCCCATTTAGCCTCCCGCTAGCCACCCCGATTTGGTATAATTTGTTTTAAAAATATCTGTACATTGTTCTAAAGTCTCTTTGGCAGGTCCGGGTGCGATCGAAATGCGCAAATAATTATTAACATAGAAATCTGAGGACACGGACGGCAATGACACGCGATGACAACATGATGATGATGATGATGATGATGTTGATGATGATGATGGTGGTGAGGAGGAGGAGGAGGATGAAGAGGATGAAAAGGATGAATGAAGAGGATGAAGAGGATGAAGAAGATGAAGGAAAAGAAGGTGATGATACTGGAGAGTACCAAAGGTAGCCATGCTACTTTCGGGAAAGTGCTGAAATATATATGTAGCCAAACGTGACCCTGCTATAGTGCACCAGTATATCTTTCTACACGCCTGATCCGCACCAACATTCACGATGCCATCAGAATAGATGTAGTCACATGCCGTCACCAGCTCAGCCGCAGCCGCATTCAACTTGCCCATGGCGACGCCAAACTGGCTGGTGATGGACCGAAGTTTGGAAATCCAGAGATGCCCTCTGGTAAATTAACATAGCTATGGAAAATCCATTATGAATGGAGGTTCCAATGGGAAAATCATCTGTAAATGGGCCATTTTCCATAGCTATGTTAAACTACCAGAGGGTAATGATGAAGTACAAAATATAGCCAACATCTGTGGGTTTCACGGTCTTAACCTTGACGCATATAGTACACACACCTACCCGCGCGCGCACAGACGCTTGCCTGGTTGAGGATCACCAAAATCGATGGATCTTTGGGTGAAAGGGCCAACACAGTCGGCCACTCACACGGTTCCAGGGGAAACTGCCATACCCTCTGGTGAACTAACATAACAATGGAAAATCACCATTTTTAATGGGAAAATCCACTATAAATGGCCATTTTCCATTGCTATGTTAGTTCACCAGAGGGTAATCATCATAATCATGTTTAGACAAATTGCCTCTCTCAAAAATAAAAACAGTTATCTATTGCCACTATTGTTTCCCCTACTGGGTGCCCTCAAGTAACAAAACAACATAGACATAGAGAAACCATTGAGAAACCCTACCAAATGATCTACATCCATGGTGGATCTTCCATATCATTGTGTTGATGATATCCCAATAACTAGGTCTCGCCGTATCCCACTTCATTCCCATTATATATCAATTATATATTGCGACTGTACATATATATATATATACCAGTCACACACATATATATATATATAAATGTATAATATCAACTTGTGCTTACGTGGTGGTTTGGGTTGGTGGTTTGGAAGTCTGGGAATTGATGGTTTTGTAAACTTAGAAAAAACAAAAAATATCAAACCCTGCAAACAATGAAATCGTTGAAAATAAAGAAAACAAATTTAAAACAACAATGAGTGCTACCAGATTAGGTTTGTTTTTGAATTGATATTCATCTTGTATCTCGGAAAATGTACACCAATAATTTCACGTGATTGTTTAATTGATTATTGAATTCTAGTGCATTTTTCTGTACTTGTCTATTTATTTTTGAAATGGGGGAAAGACAGTTTCTTGAAACCGTGTGGTCCTATCTTGTACTCTGACTGATGCAGGTTTCATGGATTTTCCATGGAGCTTCCATGCAGGTTTCATGTTGGTTACATGCTGGGTTTGCAAATTTAGCTTACTGGTGTGTAACCTCCATGACAACTCCCTCGAACCTGCATGGAATCTGCATGGAACCTCCATGGAACCTGCATCAGTCAGAGTGCATGATAAAAACCAACAAGTGTAGATAGAGGCATCACCTCCATAACGCACATGGAAACTGCATGAAATCTACATCAATTCTCCATGGAACCTGCATGTGAGGAGGTGGGGGGGAGGTAAGGGGGAATACAAGGGGTGAATTGGGGTGTGAGAGGGAGGGGGTTGTAGCAAACGATGGAGTGGAAGGGGGGAGAGGGGGGAAGTGAAAAAAGATTGGGGGGGGGGAGGGGTCTGTATGGGGGGGGGGAACCTCCATGAAAACTGCATCAGTTAGAAGGCGCCATGCAACCATCACGTTTAGACACAAGAAACGACGGTTACCTACATGAAACCTCCATGAAACCTACATCAATTCTCCATGGAACCTGCGTGGATACTCCATCAAGGAAGACGCCATACAATCATCAGGTGTAGATACAGGGAACATGTTCGAGTTTTTTTAAATGGAAACTACATGGAAACCATCGGACGCTTTGATGCAAATCGATCGCAAATCGATCGTAACTAAATTGATCGCACAAAAACTGTTATAGCATCTGTGCGTTTTGATGTCGTTTTCACTAGGCCATCTGTCTTTGCTGAGGTTTCTGTACTGGAAAAGTCAAATTCTTCCAGAATTTCTATTTATCCTGAGTGTTCGTTGCTTGGCGGTTTTGATGTTGGCAAGGCCAGGGTTTCAAGTGTGGACTTTGTAATGTGTCATTTCGATGTAGGATTTCGACGTTGTTTTGCGATCATTTTGCGATCCTTTGTCGATCGATTTGACATCGGCCTAAAAACGAATAAGAAGGCCATAAAACAACATCAATATGACATCGACAAGAACCTAAGGCCTGTAGAAAACGGCACTTGCCAATTCATATATTCATATGGTTTGGTGATCATAGAATCCAAGATGACATAAGCGAGTTCATTTCTCTTGGTGGTTTCGTCTTTCAATTAACTTAGTTTGCAATATTATATGTTAGGAACCTCCATCAAGTTGACACCGAGACAGACATAAAACTCCATCAAAATGACATCAAACAAAAATTCACATTTGAAACCTTGCCAAAATCGAAACCACCAAGCAGTGAACACTCAGGATAAATAGAAACTCTGGAAGAAATTGACTTTTCCAGTACAGAAACAAAAAGGGACATCAACAAAGACAGATGACCTAGTGAAAACGACATCAAAATGCACAGATGCTATGACAGTTTTTGTTCGTTTTTTTTACAATCAGTTTACGATCGATTTACGATCGATTTGCGATCAATTTGCGTCAAAACGTCTGATGGTTTCCACGTAGTGTCCACTTTAAAAAAAAAGTCTCTGTTCCCTGTATCTACACCTGGTGCTTGTATGGCGCTTCTTTGATGGAGTATCCATGCAGGTTCCATGGAGAATTGATGTAGGTTTCATGGAGGTTTCATGTAGGTTCCATTGTTTCTTGTGTCTAAACGTGATGGTTGCATGGCGCCTTCTAACTGATGCAGTTTTCATGGAGGTTCCATGGAGAATTGATGTAGATTTCATGCAGTTTCCATGTGCGTTATGGAGGTGATGCCTCTATCTACACTTGTTGGTTTTACCATGCACTCTGCCTGATGCAGGTTCCATGGAGGTTCCATGCAGATTCCATGCAGGTTCGAGGGAGTTGTCATGGAGGTTACACACCAGTAAGCTAAATCAGCAAACCCAGCATGTAACCAACATGAAACCTGCATGGAAACTGCATGGAAACTCCATGGAAACTCCATGAAACCTGCATCAGTCAGAGTACTGTACAGGATAGGACCGCAATGGAATTTGTTTCAAGAGAAACTTTTTTTTTCTCTGCTTTGCTTTCCTGTAGATTATTTAGATAGAATAGATAGGTAAGGTCACTTGGATAGAGTAGGCATATTAGATAGATCAGATAGAAAAGGTAGACTAGGTGGATTAGATAGATTAGATAGATTAATAGACAGACTTGAAAGATTAGAGAGGTTGGATTAGATTAGATTAGATTAGATCAGAGAAGATTAGACTAGTTTGATAGACAAATAGACAAACAAATAAATAGATAGATTATGTAGATATATGAGATTGGTTGATAGATTGATAGATTGATAGATTGATAGATAGATAGATAGATAGATAGACAGACAAACAAATAGATATATTGGATATGATATATTAGATAAGTAAATAGATAGACAGACAGACAAACAAACAGATAGACAGATACTTAGAAAGATAGATTAGATTAGATTAGATTTAGATTTAGATTTAGGATTTAGATTTAGGATTTAGATTTAGGATTCAGATTTAGGATTTAGATTTAGGATTTAGATTTAGGATTTAGAATTCGGATTTAGGTCTAGGATTTAGATTTAGGATTTAGATTTAGGATTTAGAATTAGGATTTAGAATTAGGATTTAGAATTAGGATTTAAAATTAGGATTTAGAATTAGGATTTCGAATTAGGATTTAGAATTAGGATTTAGAATTAGGATTTAGAATTAGGATTTAGAATTAGGATTTAGAATTAGGATTTAGAATTAGGATTTAGAATTAGGATTTAGAATTAGGATTTAGAATTAGGATTTAGAATTAGGATTTAGGATTAGGATTTAGAATTAGGATTTAGAATTAGGATTTAGAATTAGGATTTAGAATTAGGATTTAGCATTAGGATTTAGCATTAGGATTTAGCATTAGGATTTAGCATTGGGATTTAGCATTAGGATTTAGCATTAGGATTTAGCATTAGGATTTAGCATTAGGATTTAGAATTAGGATTTAGAATTAGGATTTAGAATTAGGATTTAGAATTAGGATTTAGAATTAGGATTTAGAATTAGGATTTAGAATTAGGATTTAGAATTAGGATTTAGAATTAGGATTCAGCATTAGGATTTAGAATTAGGATTTAGAATTAGGATTTAGAATTAGGATTTAGAATTAGGATTTAGAATTAGGATTTAGAATTAGGATTTAGAATTAGGGTTTAGAATTAGGATTTAGAATTAGGATTTAGAATTAGGATTTAGAATTTGGATTTAGAATTTGGATTTAGAATTAGGAATTAGGATTAGGGATTAGGATTAGGGATTAGGATTAGGGATTAGGGATTAGGGATTAGGATTAGGGATTAGGATTAGGGATTAGGATTAGGGATTAGGGATTAGGATTAGGGATTAGGATTAGGGATTAGGATTAGGGATTAGGATTAGGGATTAGGATTGGGGATTAGGATTGGGGATTAGGATTGGGGATTAGGATTGGGGATAAGGATTACAGAAAGGGACGCTCTCAGTCCCCACGTTTCTCAGTCCCCACGTTTCTCAGTTCCCACGTTTCCACATGTCTGGACAGACGACGTGACAGATTACATATGAATCTTTGTTAGGAAAAATGTTACGTCTACGGAATTCATGCTTATGAATCTGTAGTGTCACTAACAAGCAGACTTGAGGAACACCTGACTCTGATTATATTTCTAATTCACAGGAAAGAAAGAGCCACACAGAAAACAAACGATTTTTTTTTTTTTGGGCTGACCCCCCCCCTTTACCTCTCCCAAGACGGCCTATAGAGCAAACCCAGATATATTATTTTCTTGTCGTGGAGCTTCTTACATTTGTGTTCTGTTCTTGTTCTTGTTTCTTGCTATTTTTCTTGTTTCTGTGGATATCTCATATGCTTACCTGATGCGTCCTGATAATTTGCTTTGAAGAGTGTTTGCAAACGCAACGGACAGGCGTATAAACTAACAAG